ACTTCAATCTCTTGAATCAAGATTTCCAGTTTGCAAAGGAACTTATATTTTATTATATATTGAAGCAAATCCATTGAAAAGTAGAAGAGTAAGCTAAGGATGAAAAAGTTATGGGAGAAATCACAAAATACATTTTGCTTAGGTTTAGTTTCTTCCATAATTTTTCATTTTTGTTTATTTATTTGTTTTGTTGTTTGGGACCCATGCCCGGAAGTGCTCAGGGATCTGTGCTCAGGGATCCCCTTGTCTGTGCTCCCACCATATGGGATGCTAGGAACTAAAGGCCACATCCACAATGCTTAGGGGATATCCCTAGCTCTGCTTCTGTGGTGCTTGGTGGACCAGATGGGATGCCTGAATCCAACCAGGGTCAGAGGAGCACAATGCAAGCTTCTTATCCTCTGCTATCTCCCCAACCCTTGTTTGTTGCTATTGTTTGATTTTTGAAGATGGGGACTTATTTATTTGAGGCACCAAAGCTGAAGGAGGACTTCAGTTTTTCAGTGGAACTTGGAGTATGGCTGCATTTGCAGTACAGTGTGGAATTGAGGTGAATGAAGCCAATTCCTGGGTCTAGAATCCTAAATCAGGAAGAACTTGAATCTGTCTTTTCAAAGACTGTGCTTGAGGCAAGTGAAACAATGAATAAGTAAATTGCAGCAAGTAAAAGAAGACAAGTGAAACATGGAAAAAGAGTCAAGTTCAAAGGAAATTTGGCTTCTGAGCTTGGGGATCTCAGGGGTCCTCAGACTAGGCTCCCGGTCCCCACTGCCCCCACACTCCCACCCAATTTTAGCCCCGATGTAAGTACCAATTCCTATCCTGGACCATTCCCCACACTCACCCCACTACTTCAGCTCACTGGCATTCAGAATAGGGATACAGAGCTCATTTCATCAATCTGTGGGACAACCTGAGGTTGGGGGAGCAAGGCCCGAGGGTTTAAGTGGGCCTCCCGGTGTCTCTGGGACTCAGTCCTCTTGGAGAATCCTTAAACTTTGCCTTACATCACTGACCATAAATTTCTTTCAATATGGCTTTTGGTTTCAGTATTTTCATTCAACTTGTAAACTTTCCAAGAACAGAGGGAGTGGCTGTCTTCTCAGAGCTGCACATTTCTGTAGTGAAAATAGTCAATTCATTAAAAAATTGTTTATTCTCTGACAGTTTTGGAGCTAAGTGAAGACTAATATCATTGATGCTATTGGAAAATATGTTGGTTAACTTCTTCTTGAAATTCTACTCATTGTATCCAGCTCTGTAGGGGAAATCACTTGGATAAAAATTATTTACTTTTTCACCCAAATCATTTCATAAAAATATAAATTTCTGGCAGTACTCAGTAACACCTTTTGGCTTACATATCCAAGTTTTTCTTTAATTTATGTGATGATTCTTTTAATATTTTTTTCATCTTTTGTCGTCTTATTGTTGGGAATATTACATAAATAATTTGGTTTTATATTCTTTTTTCGTGGATATTACTTTGTCTACAATCCACATCATATATTATTTTAAGGTTGTCTCTGGTTCACAGATGCAGATGGGTGAGTAATTTTTGAGGTCTCAGTATTGGCCTCAGACAAGGAGAATGCCCAAAGGGTACTATTCTGCATGAGAATGCCCCAAATTCAATTTTCTGATGTACATAACTGCCAAATACCACCAGGTATAACTCTGATGGCCTCTGATCATTGCAAGCTACCCTTGACAAGCCCAAGCACTGCCAGATCTGAGCAGCACTGCATCAGTGGTCTGAGCACTGAACCATCAGATTGCACATAGAAAGACAAATTTACAATGTAAAAACACAACTGGTATGGGGTGGGTGACTGGTCAACTTGTGCCTTGAATGAGTGCTGGATTTTATCTCATACTGATTCCATTTTCAAGGACTCTGTCCCCATAATGTCCCCTTTAAAAGACCTTGCCCACAAAATCCACCACCTTTAGGAATTAGAATTCAGTTGAGAGATTGAATGTGAGATTGGGGGATCCCCACACTGACACCATAGCATATTCCCAACAATAACAAAGAAAACACACCCAACCATAGCAAACATTGTCAATTTTTATTAATTTTACCTGTGGCTTAACACTAGTGTTAATTTGCATTTTTCTGATGACTGATGATGTGAAGCACTATTTGATATACATATTGTTCATGTTTATGTAATCTTTAGAGAAGTTCCTATTCAGATTTTAGCACATTGTAAATAAATTATTCAGCTGTATGTCTTTGTACAATTGAAACCTATAGCTTACATATGTAATATGTACAATACTTTACAAAAGCTTACATAGGTAATATGTACAATACTTACAATACTTTCTTATACTTCTCTTTTCCAGTGTCTACTGGTGTTTACTTTAGTGACCAGAAGTTCTTGAGTTTGATAAAATTTAATTAGCCATACTTGGTTTTATTGATGGTGTTTTTATAAACTGATTAATAATCTTTCACAGACATCATGAAAATTTTTCGTAAACATTCTTATATTCTATTTCTTCTACAAGAGTAAACATTGTATCTTTCTCATTTAAGTCTGTTAATAACTTTGAACCATTTTTTTAGCAAGATAGTAATTAGTGTACTACATGTCTATAAAGAGATAGCAATTTAAGAAACAGAGTGCAGAAAGTTAACCAGATTTATGGAAAGTTAGTTAACAAATCTCTAGCTTCAGTGTGAATTTGTCTGCTTGTTTTATTTCTACAACTTTTCTTATTTTTAAAAAGTATGAATTGCAATCATAGTATTAGGGCTGGTGACTCTAATTTATCTCCTCAAATTAATCAGTTCCAAGACAATTTTTACTCTTTAATTTGGTTTGGGGGCCATATCCAGAGATGCATAGTTGTGAGTCTATGCATGGAAATTACTCCTAGTTGGTAGACCATGAGGTGCTGAAGATCAATCCCAGGCCTCTCACATGCAAGCATGTGCTCTCTCTATTATCTGTCTGACCCAATTTTATTCTTTCTAAAGTGGTAGACCTAATTCAGTGTTCTATTGCTCCTGGATATTGAATTGTTTATTGGTTCTTTTCACATTTCCATGGTAAAATATACAGAAGAAAAAAACAATGAGCCAGAAATTTTCTAAGCTGAATCCAAATCCTGGATTAACTATTAATTAGCTGTAACATGCTATGGTGTATACTAACAGTTCTTTCTGTCCAGCAATTTTTCTTCCTTCTGGAAGAAACAAACACATTCCCCTAAGAACAACATTTGTACCCTCCACTGGCAAGACCATATACTTACAGTTTTCCTGTTCCAGTCCTCTGACTTATATAAGGTCTGCTAAATCCAGCTAGTCTCATAGAATTCTTCCTCTCAAATATATTGGTCCCAAAATGAGCCAATTCATCTAAACTGCAACTACTGTTGCTAGTACAAGCTTGTAAAACTTAGTTCATAAATAGAAGCAGTGACCTATTTTGATCAAGGGTCTCTTAAGGTATATAACCCAGAAATCACCATCATAAATCATATTACGTAGGAAAAAGCTGGGTTGCACTGATTGCAACAGCAGTGAAAGATAGATGGTGATGTGTATGAGATGCAACACAAACCTGCCTTTCTAACCCTAGCTTGACCAACCTTCTCTAAAAATAAAAATGAACTAATGAACTTTTGGCCTAAACCAGCCTTTCTGCCTTTGTACATCTATGGACCAGTGAGCATAGCAGAAATATTCTGTGGATTGCTAAAACAGAACTAAGAAACATGGTTTATAACAAGAAAATTTATATTTCTATATTTATTATAGCACTGCTACATTGTCCAGACACCCCATGTGTTAGCAGTAAATTTTTCACAAACCAACAAAAAGGTTCTGCGGACTGACATACTAAACTAGGTCAGAGACTGAGACCACTGAGCTAAACAATCTAGTCTGGCTTTGAGGTTTGCAACCAAAGGAATTTTATACCTATTGAAATGGAATGAGTCTCTAAATTAACATACTTAGAGACATTACTTGATGGATTTAGATCCCAAAGATTAAATTCTTCAGCAGACACCTGACCTTGCCCAGCGACCTGTGATTTTTAAAAAGCATACTGTATCTTATAATACAAAGTGTAAAAGGGATATACTGTTCAAAAAATCAAATGGAAATTGAAGAACTGTCAAAATATTTATTTTCAAAAGTAAGATTACATCTAGCAAAAATTTAGCAGAAACATCTAACTCTAACATATAAGTATAGTTATGAATTCAAATAGTTTGTGATTTAGAAAATATATGTTATTAAATAGCAAATATGTTAATAATACAACTCTTGTGAAAAATAGGAATTGCCTTTAGTAATGAGTCCAATGACATTTAAAGCAAAAGCCATTTGTTATTTTAATACCTACAATAAAGCACCCCCCCATGTTAATGGTGTTTATTCCATCTGTGATTCATTCTCTGCAGAAATAAACAGAGAATTCTCTAATTTGTTTTTCATAGAATGTCTGTTTCTGCATTTGTAAATGTTTACTGTTGAGACATCTCTTTCCTTCCTGATTCTAATACCATTAGTGAACGGATATGTGTGTGCTTCCTTAAGTTCCATTCCCAGGCTGTCCTGCTTTGTTCCATCCCTTCTACCTTTGAATCTGGAAGATTAAAAAACTGAATACAAATTTTCAGGTATTGTTCCCTCCCCACTATTCCCACACTTTGGACCTTCAAGTCATTTTGGAAAGAAAATCTTATACTCCTGATAAAATCTGTTTATTACAGACTCTAAATGCTTTTGTTTGTCATTTAAATTCTCATTTCTGGGAATTGCCTTAGAGTCAGATAACTCCTTAAATTGAATGTAGAAGTGGGGCAAAGGACTGGCCAGTTATAAAAATATTTATAACTATATAAATATTTCTTTTTTTCAACTGTTCTGCTTATTGTCTCACAGAAAATTCATTAAGAAAACCGACCATAAGGGAGATCTATGTTTTAAAGGGAGCAAAGTATAATATTCAGAAAATATTTTTCTTTTTTAACAGGAGGACCAGAGTTGGACGAGAGAGACAGTACTAGGCTTAAGGCACCTTCTGTAGGTTGCCAACCCAGTTTGATTTGGGCACCACATATGATCCGAGAGCACTGCTAAGAGTGATCCCAGAGCAGAGGGCCAAGTTAGCCCAGAACAGCTCCAGGTATATTCCAAAACCCTATTTCTCCCCCCAAAAAATGACCAGAGGTAAAGGAAATAAAAAAACAGGAATTGGATGGTGCATAAAATAAATCACATAAATTTGTAAATACACAGAATAGATTTACTGAGATAGATAACTATAAAAAAAAGATGTGACATTAAGAATTACATATTGGGGATGGAGTGATAGCACAGTGGGTAGGTAGCATTTGCTCTGCACAGGGCCGACTTGGGTTTGATTCACAGCATCCCATATGGTCCCCTGATCACCGCCAGGAGTGATTCCTGAGTGCAGAGCCAGGAGTAACCCCTGTGCACTGCCAGGTGTGACCCAAAAAGCAAAAAAAAAAAAAATTACATATTAAAGTGGGACATGTGAATCAGCATTTACTAAGGGTTCCAAAGTATTGTCATTTTAACATATATTAAGTTTTAAATGTCATACATTTGAATATTGTTAGATATATGTATTGAAGCTATGTTTTCAACAATGTTGAAAGATACATACATGTTTTAAATATGTCATAAAACTTCTGGACAGACATTATGAGGATATGTTAACTGTCACCAAAATTCACATTTGGAGGTATACATAAGAATTCTACTGTTGTATAGATGATCTCACATGAGCAATCTAGTCATTATATATATTTGGGTTCTGCGTTTCACAGGTGATTTATACAATGAAGAAACAGGTATTTTGGGTTTCTACATGTTTGCTGATTAGCTGTGTGTCTACTCTTAATGCTATTCATGAGGAAGATGAAGAACATACGAACATTACAGGTAAAGTGTTAGAGTCATTTATCCTTTTTATGTAATCAAATTTTTTTTCATTTTCATTCAAAAATTGGTTATTCATTATGTATGAAAATTGTATTTTAAAAAATTATTACAGTGGTGTTTTCACAGAAAATATCTTATAAGCAAAGTCTGAAATCTGCTTAGGTTCAAAAAATGTTCCAAGTTCTTTAAGTTAAAAAGTGATGCTTCTTTCAGGCTATAAAAGTAAATAAACACTGAAGCATCTCTGGGAATTTTCAAGGAGAAGAATGCTGTAAAAATAACTCTTTATGATTCCTGATATCATATTTTGGCTGAGAAAAGTGTACGACAGAAAAGGAAAATGCAAATATGTGAGCTTTCACTCATTCTTCTTACCCCAAAGCAAGCATTTTCCCATATGAACCCAGTGAAATAAAGTAGTTAAAAACAACACCAAAATATCTTGGTAACAGAATTCATTCTAATCCCATAGAGCCTTGTATCTAGAAGAAAATATACCAACAATGGAATCAAGAGAAGATAGCATACTGATTACTATTATGAATTTATTATTTTCTTAAAATAAGGAAATTGTGGAAAAATAGTGAATTTTATTTCTTTATCATTTTTTCTTTCTAGTTCTTTAAAAACTTTATTGTAGTTTTGGTAGCATGACCATAATGGCATTAATATTTATGGTACTGATGTATAAAAATAGTAAATTATTAATAGAAGGTCAATGATTGGTAATAAAGAACAGGAGAAAAGTCATCACTCCTATTTATCTGTATATTTATGAGGTACAGATTATCTCCATTAATAGATTCTAATTTTATATCATAGATTTTTTAATTGATTTGAGTTCGATGTATTTAATTTTGTTAAAGAATTCATATTTCTAACATGCCTGAAATTGTGGTTGATGCCAGGGAAGCCATGAGTGATGACAGAGAGAGGAGTTCCCAAGAGCAGGCAGACAGAATATTCCAGTATAAAGTAATATAGTATTTCTTAATCAGGAACCAGATGGCTCATTGTGGGCTACCAGGAAGGGAGCTACTAGTAAAAATCATGTAAATTGTTTAGGGGGGTGGCAGCAAGGTCATAAGAAGGAAACAAGAGCTGAAGAAGACAACATTTATGAAGAGGGGAGAAAAACTGTTGTAGTAAATGAGTGACAGTGGCAAGCATGATACGAGAGGAAAGGAAACACATCCAAGGTCAGTGTGACCAACTGGTATATGCTACATCACTTCAGCCTAGAGACAAGAATTGAACAGTAAGGGCTGCAGGCCCAAGCCCCACCCATAAGCCTTGTTCACTAACTAAGAAACAAACCTGCCTGGGATCCACAGGCAATGAACATCTAGTCCTTGAGTTTAAAAACAGCAATAGTTTTATTTTAATATGCCACTTTATGTGTGTGTGTTTTTACGATGTAATGCTACTTAGTAAAATAAAATTGATAACATTCTTTATGAAAACAAGTTTGAGCGTTATAAAGTGAGGATCCTTAGTACTTTGGGCTCATAAAAAGAATGACTAATATTGCATTCTTTTGGAGTTTGGGTGGAGAGGGGTCTATAGAAATAATTAAAAGGGGGTAAATAAGCAATTCCACCTTGGTAGGCTACAGGAGAAAGGGGTGCTCTGGGGTTCACCTAACCAATTCTCCCTCAACTTGAGAAAATACATGCCAGTCAACCATAGATTCCTAAACTTGTTGCTACTTTTATAGTCAGTCAAGAAAGCACCATTAGTCCACTAATAATTCAAAGTTTAAAATCTCTATGAATTCAGACCAAACTCATCTGAATTATAAGAAATATGATCTTACAAAGCTAGACATGAAGATTATTTAGCTTGTTAGATGTCATGTCTGTTTGACTTTGTTTGGAATTATTCTGAAGATAGCATAACCCACTCAGAGCCAATTCTGTTTTGGAGATACTATTTACCAATATTGTGTCATCATTTTTTAGCATGTTGCTATTTTACAGAAATAAAATTTTACTACTTCTCTCATAAGTCAATACTCAGCCTAAAATAAGTTCATAAGGCCAGGATGATAGTTTAAGTGCCTAGCACATACATGACCCCAAGTCCTATCCCCAGTAACGCATGACTCCCTATCAGCACTATGGGTATGGCCCTGATAGCCTCTATGTAACACACATTGCAGGCTGTGTGAGCCTAGTTTATCCTGGAACAATCTCAGCCTTCTGAGAATGGACCCTATACAAGGAGAAAAATGTGGAGAAAAGGGGCGGGGGGGGACACCTCAGCTATTAGTCCAACCAGTAAGAACATTCAATAGAACAAAGTTCTTAATCAGACAAAAGGAATAAGAAAATAGCTTTAATAAAGGCTTTAAAAACTCTTTTGACTGGGCCAGTCCAATAGTACAGTAGGTAGGGCGCTTTCCCTGCATGCAGTTCTCCTGTGTTTGATCCCTGGATTCCCATATGGTCCCCTGAGAACTGCCAGGTGTGGATAACAGCTAGATATCTCATAACAGAGAGATTGGCACAGCTCACAAACAACAAAAGCAATGGGGGGGGGGGGGCGGGTGGAACTTCATCCACTGCTGGTGGGAACAACAACTGGCTTGATGTTTTTTGAAAACAGTATAGACACTCCTCAAAATACTATGAATTGAACTTCCATGTGACCCAGCAATTTCATTTTTTGACATTCACCCCAAGGGCCCAAACACTCTACTCAGAAAAGATATTTTCACTTCCATGTTCATTGTAGCATTAATAGCTGGAAACAAATCTTGAAAGAGCCCAAATGTGGAAACAACCTGTATATCCAAGAACAAATGACTGCATAAAGTCTCGGGCATATACACAACAAAATACGGCTTGTTTCAGTTTGCCTCTATAGGGGTGTATCTGTATAATATTGTGCTGAGCACAGTTATTCAGAAGGAGAGGGACAGACACAGAATGGTTTTTCTCAGAAGTAGGACATAAAGAAACATAGTAAGGAGACAAAAAATACTCAAAGTCATAAACTGAAAACTAGCCTTAATTAGCAAGCATATCACTGAGGGTGGAAAGTGGGGAGGGGTGTTGGAACAGGACAGGAAGGTGGGACACTGCCACCATGTTAAAGGGAAGTGGACAGTCTGGTGGAAGGTGTGACGATGGAATGTTTTGTGCATCAAACTGCCATTATCAAAATTATAAATCATGATGCTTAAACTAAACATGTTTAAATAAACTCCTTTGAACTGGGAGAGTGGTTAGCAGGGAGTAGATAGAACAATGCATTTATCTTATAAGGTTTCAGTAAGACTGGTCTAAGTTTGTATGAGTAGTTTGTTGGATGGAAGTTTCACAAAATATGAGTTATGTAAACTCTCTGACTTTAGTGGTCCAAACATAAGTAGTTGATGTAAATTACTGTGCGTGTAAGGCTGCTACATAAACTCTATAAAAGCCTGTATCTAATTTTTTGCCACAAAGAAGCACACAGTACATGTCTATGCCCCTGGGGAAAAAAATCTGTTAGATAATGGAATAGCATGCAGATTCTAAGATAATACTTGCCTTTAGGTTCCACTAGGTTCTCCCTCTAAATTCCAGAAGACTGAGAATTCTGACACACTCAAGGACCCTAAATCATGAGAGGGAGAGGGAGATGGTAATCCTCAACATATAAAAAAAATACTAACTACAAAATGATATAAACAAATAGACCATAATTCCACTTATATGGGCCTATTTGTTTTTCTGTTTTGTTGCCCAAGGCAAACCTTGAGCACTTTCTTAGTCACATGATAAGCATCTCTGACCCCCTAATCAAATTTACTATACATTGATATAACACCTTGAACTTCTTGAACATTGATGTAAATGACTAGTATCTGTAGCCTCCTGAATGAAGATCAAGTGCTGATACGAAAATTATTTTTATATCTACTATGACAGCATTGCTGTTCACTTTCAAAAGATTGATCCTAAGTAAGCAATGCACGAAAGACATACCTCCAACTCCTTGGGGTGGAATGGAATGCTATTGTCCCTCCCCTCTTCCACTTTAGGGATTTAAATGTGGGCTCAAGAGCAAAGGAATAGTGCAATAGAAAATAATAGCACAGGTTCCACATAAGAAATACTTTAAAAATGTGAATACTGAGGAAAAATAATTAGCTGTCAATGAATACAGAATAATAAATGAAAGTTAATTCTTAGTTTTTTCTAAGGGTATTTACTTGAATGGAAATGTTTTATTTAATTATATGTGTTACACCTAAATGATAACTTAACAATGTCATTCATACAGGTCCGTTACAATATGACTCAGTTTTTACAAACATTGGATATATCTAGAATAAATCTACATAGGGGACAGGGGACAGGGGACTCTCAAGTTACTGCTTATGAGGTGAAATGAGTAGTTTTTCTGTAATATTCTTTCAAAATGGAGATAAATTCCATAACTCAGAAGTCTGTGGTTATTAAATAATATAACTGAATAGCTCAGTCACCGTATTTAAGTCAGTACCATGAGTTGATGTTTACCAGTATGAAGATAGCTAAAAGTAATGTACACTTCCTGTGGTACCCTGCTGCCACCTGGTGGCAAAATTGTTAAATAGCAGGTTGAACTTGGTAAATCCTTAATATAGTAGTTTTCAGCATGTAATAAGGATTTCCAAATATATTAAAAGTAAAAAAGAAAAAGAAACCAAAGAAAGGAATGATCGATGAAAACTAATCTGATATTAACTATTGCTTCATAAGAATAGAGATGCCTTTCTGAAAGACAGCTTCATACTCTTTAAAGTTGCCTTTAAGGCCTTTAAAGTTCCAGTAACACTCACTTGGGACTCAGAAACACTTTATTATATGTGAAGCGGTAAAGGAATTTGTGAAATAACAATATTTAACAAAAATACTAAAAATTGTATAATGGGGCTGGAGCAATAGATAGCAGTTTGGGAGTTTGCCTTGAACAGGGCTGACCCGGGTTCCATCCCCGAAATCCCAGAAGCACCCCCAGGAGAAATTCCTGAGTACAGAGCAAGGGATCCCTGAATGTCTCTGGGTGTGCTCCCCATAAAAAAAACGTTTGTACTTCTATATTATTCCTCAGAATTATTTAAACAAATTTCTGGTGTGCAGGTATCAGAAAACCACAAAGAATGAGTTTTTCATTGATTACCCTTCACTACTGCTGAACTAAAAGAAATCTCTACTTTTTTCTAGGTCAGTTATTTACAATATTACTCAATTCCCAATTGGTCCAGTGTTACAGTCTTAAGAAATATCTGTACACAAAAGTAGAGAATTTACTCTGCATTTTCCTTTAGCTGTTGTTTGAAAAAGCAACAAATTACCAAAATCAACTATTAAAACTCTATAGTTAGGGGCTGGAGAGATAGCACAGCAGGTAGGGCGTTTACCTTGCATGCGACCAACCCGGGTTCGATTCTCAGCGTCCCATATGGTCCCCTGAGCACCGCCAGGAGTATCTCCTGAGTGCAGAGCTAGGAGGAACCCCTGAGCATCGCCAGGTGTGACCAAAAAAGAAAAGAGAGAGAGAGAGAGAGAGAGAGAGAGATTACTTCAGATTACTAGGAGACCCACTCAAGGGTGAGATCTCAACAAAGTATGTTCTTCCCTCAGTTAGTAATCTACTTAAATAGTTGTAATAAATCTACTTCTAAAAAAGTAAATAAATATAACTCTATAGTTAATAAACTCTGTTTCATTGACGATTTTGTAAATTTTCACTTTTTATGATTAGAATACCTTTCTGTGGTTTCCTTTTATTTATATATTCCACCTTTGTTGTTTCTGCGAGTTGCATGTGCTGGAATGGGGTGTTTGCTGGGAGTTGCGCATCTGCAGGGTGCTTACACACCACACCACAGTGATTGCTGCGTGCCACATATGTCACTCGTGGTGCTTGTACACATGCTTGCCAGGGGTTATATTCATCTAGCATGGTGCTTGTAGTACACACCAGACTTCACTATGGAATCTAAGTAGATGCAGTGTTTACACACTTTAACAGCAGGGCTAGCCCAAATGCCATGCTGTCTGCTGTGCTCCAACAAAGGCCACACACTTGTATTTTGATCTCAGATAATAGAGGTACACAACGTGCTAGGCACTGTGGAAGATGCCAGGAATTGAACTCTAGGTCTCACACTTGCAAGGCCAGCACGGTTTGTCTCTAGTCATTCATTCCCCAGGTAGAAAATCCTATCTTATGGCCATTATAATTAGTTGCTTTAAAGGAAGAACATATTGAGGGCTGAAGAGATAGCACAGGAGTGAAGGCTCATGCCTGTATGAGGCCCACCTGGTTCAATCCCTGGCACCACAAGTTTCCTCAAGCCTCTCTGGGTCCAGCCGTGCAAGTCCTTGAATATTGCCAGTGCAGACTGGGCAATTCCCAGCATCACAGGACCCAAGCAGTGCCTCATTCTATAACCTTCACATTGAACATTGACCTAGTTTGGCCAAGATTTACTATGGAAATCTTGGAAACCCTATGACTCCCTAAGCATAGTTGGAAGCCCTCCCCTCAAAAAAGGAAGTGAAAAACAAAAGACATATTTACAGGGTTTCTGAGGATTATATGCTTTTTTTTACCTTGCAGGTGTCAGCTTGCCACCACTGAAACTTGTAAATTCATTCTGTGCCTATAAACCAGACGATGGACCATGCAAAGCATTGATAACTAGGTATTTTTTCAACATCCGCACTCAACAGTGTGAAGAGTTTATATACGGAGGATGTGAAGGAAATCAGAATCGATTTGAAACCCTGGAAGAGTGTAAAGAACAATGTGTAAGAGGTAGGTTTGTAAGGACACATCACTCAGAGTGTGTATCTAATCATTGATTTCAAAAATCAGAAAAAAGGAGAATTAAGAAATATTGTGACACTTGGAGGAATATCTTTTGCACATCTTAAGTATTTAGATTCAATTCAATTTTTTCTTCCCAATTAGTTGTTATATATTTTCTCCATTTGTTTTCCTATATTCTTGTCCACCATAAGCAACAAGAAATGCCTGGAAGTTTGCAGAACAGCTTTTATATCTATAATGAAGTGAATGTAATAATTTAAGCTTCCTCTGGTGACTGTGAATTGTCAGGAAAGAAATTACTGATCACATTGACTTAGTCTTTGCCTTATTAATACAATGACTTATGGTAATTAATACAATAATCTTTAGTATCCTGACCCTCGTCAGGATACTAAATTTGATCATTCACATTGAGGATGTCAAAGTCATTAAGATATTCTAAGCATGGGGGCTTGAGTGATAGCACAGCGGGTAGGGTGTTTGCCTTGCACGCAGCCGACCCGGGTTTGATTCCCAGCATCCCATATGGTCCCCCGAGCACCACCAGGAGTAATTTCTGAGTGCAAGAGCCAGGAATAACCCCTGTGCATCGCCAGGTGTGACCCAAAAAGAAAAAAAAGACATTCTAAGCATGAATGTGCATACACTCACAGACACAAACACATGTACACACACATACACACACACACACACACCACTTTATGACATTCTTTGGAAACTTGGAATACTATAAAAAAGAAAATCATTCCTGCTGATCTATGCAGACTTTATTGAACTCAACTTTTCTTATCATATTCTTACTGATAAAACATTGTGAAACTTAAAAAAGAGATAAACTGTTATTTTCTTTTATAGATGTTATAAGCATTTTTCTCTCTACAGAATAACCTCCTCACTCTGTCTCAACACACCTTACTTAGCTTATTTATTATAAGCTAATCAATCACAATCACAACCATCCTGTTATTCATCGATTGCTTCGAGGAGGCCCCAGTAACGTCTCCTTCGTCCTAGCCCTGAGATTTTTTTTAAAAAGTGCCATATTCGAGGCTCTTTCAGAGTTAGGAGAATGAGACCCTTCATTGTTACTGGTATTTGGCATATTGGGTACGCCACGGGGAGTTTGCCAGACTCTGCTGTTTGGGCAGGTTACATTCGGTAGCCTACCAGTTTGTCCAAAGTAGGAATGAGATGATATTCGCGGCCGCTCGCTTCCAGGAGCTGAGTGTGATAATCTCTGGATCCTGGCCGTTGTTGGGGTTACACGGCAGTTGGTGGGTGTAACTGTCTAGCTACTGGCAGGTCCAGTCCCAAACCGTGCAGGCTTGGAGATCTCAGCCCCGGGTCCCACACACCTGGGTTCCTCTGCCAGTTCTTCTATGTGTGAGGCTCATCCAAGTGTGTGGAAAGTGGTCCCAGCATGGCCTTGGCTGGGGCCCGGAGGTCTTCAGCTGTTGGGCCCTGGTGGGGACAGTCAGGCACAGGGTAGGAGACTCTGCCTTGTTCTCTCCCGGGAGCTGAGTCTGATAATCTCTGGATCCTGGCCGTTGTTGGGGTTACACGGCAGTTGGTGGGTGTAACTGTCTAGCTACTGGCAGGTCCAGTCCCAAACGTGCAGGCTTGGAGATCTTAGCCCCGGGTCCTACCTAATAAAAACTAAGATAATAAAAACACAAATGATTCTACAACAGAACTTCACTTATTGTATTCATTTTAACTTTAAAAATAATATTTAAGCTTATAGCATATAATACAGTACCATATAATATAACGTCTAAATAAGAATACATTGAAGTATGTTGGGTCAAAGACAGCATAACATTTCAGTCCTTAAGTAAGATAATTCAATTAATTCTATGAAGTTAAACAAAAAGGAAATAATGTGTTACATATACATTTTACTTTATTACTCTTCTGTGCTTGAGTTGAGACAACAAGGATAAGTGTGGGGAATAATAAGGAAACATAATCTGGACCTTTCCACCGTTATACTTGATCCATTGTGGAAATGATTCATTTTTAATATACAAAGTAGTTTATTTAAATCACTTTCATGTTTCATATTATGTTAAAAAAAACAACTAGTTTAACATGGACATTTGAGTAACAAGTTCAGTACAGCATAGATTCTTGTTGGAGATTATGGGCCACACCCAAGGCTGCTCAAGGCTACTGGTTCTGTTTTCCGAGCAGTGCTCTGGGGATCTTGTAGTACAGGGGATCAAACCCAGATTATCTGCATGCAAAACAAGCTCTTCAACACCTGTGACATCTCTTCATCTCTATAAATTTTTATTTTTGCAAATATGTTAGAAACTTTTAACATAATTTTAGTGACTGTTAAATTAGAATGTAGGTAATTTCATGGAAAGCTTTTTTAGGAATACAAAGAAATATTATTTATTTATATTCTGCCTCAAAATAATAGTAATGGTATTAAAACATTATACATGTATTTTTTTTCTTACAGGCTATCGGAAAGGAAAATGGGTAAAGAAAACACTTCACAAAGGTGATCATATTTGTGTGTTATTTGTGTAAAAATATAGTTTAGATGTTGCTAGTTTACTTTTGTTCTCAGATCTGTAATCCATTAATAAGGTCAGCATTTATGAGTATAAGCAGTTTTCAGACAATGCGAATGTATATATGGTTCTCAAGAATCTATATGCAAAAGTAATTGGAGATATTACACAATAAATAATGGCTCATTTATTTTGTTTAGCTTTTATTTTATTATTTTTTATTTTTTGCTTTTGGGTCACACCCAGTGATGTACAGGAATTACTCCTGGCGGGCTGGGGTACTATATGGGATACTGGGAATTGAATGTGGGTTGGCTGCATGCCAGTTACCGTGCTAACGCTCCAGCCCCTAGTGGCTCATTTTTGCATTATTTGGTGCATATAAATATTTTTTTAACTTTTGGGGGCTGGAACAATAGCATAGTGGGTAGGGCGTTTGCCTTGCACACAGCCAAGATGGCCAACCCTGGCTCAATTCCCAGCATCCCATATGGTCCCCCCGAGCACAGCCAGGAGTAATTCCTGAGTGCAAGAGCCAGGAATAACCTCTGAGCATCACCAGGTGAGACCCAAAAAGCAAAAAATATATATATATTTAACTTTTGATAGAAATTTTTTATTTATTCTTTATTTAACTAAAAATAAACTATTTTTGTTGAATACATTATATCAACACAAGAAAAAAATTCTCATCAACAGCAATAAAATCAGCTACTTTTATTTATTTTGGGCAGCGGGTGCTCATGAGTGGTGCTCAAACAGGGAGTACTCTTGGCAATACTCTAAGGGCAGTTCAACCTAGAGATCCTGCAGGTTCCCACCCCCAGAATCTGATACCCATTCCTTTTTAATGATTCTCTAGAAAGTGATTTGATCCAGTTGCAATATGTGGTAATGTGATATTTACCTTTGAATGAGAAAATAGCAACAAAAATCAAATTATTAACTATGAAAATGTTACAAAGTATAACATATATATTAATTTCACAGATTTTTACTTGTGTGAAAAAAAGGCTGAAAAATATTCTCTTGCTTCACTAATAAATTGAGGCAGTTTATTGCCCAAAATATGAACCAGTTTTAATTCAAACAAAAATTTAGAAATAAAGTTTGTACACACAGAATAAGTTAATGAATTGACTAAAATTGCATTCTATAAATATGGAATTATTCTGAGATTTTTTTAATATTTCAAATAAATTATACTCATTATATGTAATAACAAAGACTACAACATACTTAAAAATAGAGTTTTTGTTGTTCATATGTTTTAAAATTTAAGGAGTCCTATGAAGACCCAGAGAGATAGAACAACAGACCGGAGAATGGATTTGCTTGCAGGTGGAAAAGCAAATTTGATTCCCAGCATCACGCTGATCCCTGAACCCTGCCAGCAGCTACCCCATGCACTAAACTTGGAGTAAGCCCTATGCATTATCTCCCCAATTTTTTATGTCAATAAATACTTTCAGAGTTCATAAATAAAAATTAGTTTTTAAATATTTTTCTTTTTCATAAAAGAACATAAGAATTTAAAGGGCTTTTTTCCTCCTCTCATGTGTTAAGTTTAACTACAATATTTACATGGGAGTAATACTAACATACTTTGAGAAAAACTAAAAAATAAACCATATCAAAATAACTTTCAAGTTAGTACTTTGAAGAACCAGAGCCATAGTACAGTAGGGAGTGCACATTTGCCTTGAACTCAGCTAAAGCGAGTTCAATCCCTAGCATTCCTTAAGGTCCCTTGAGCAGTGCCTGGAGTAATTCCTTAGTGCAAAACCAGGATTAAGCTCTGAGCTTTGCCAAAACCAAAGGCCAAACAGACAAAAGTAAATTATTACTTGAAATCCTAATTGAAAATACATAGTTGCACAGTATTAAAATGGTATTTTACATAATTAACAATTTTCAGAGTACAGTGATTTTATTATTTATTTTTATTTATTGGGCCACACCTATAGTGTGTTGTGCTTACTCCAGGCTCCGGCTAAGTAATTACTCCTGGTGGCACTAAAAACACCACAAGTAGTGCCAAGAAAAGAACCTAGATTAGACACAAGGGCCTTTTGTCATGTGCATTGTCTCCTGGACCCCAGTGTGCTTTTATATGCATATATGCAATTTTTGCATAAATCACTAATAATGGTAAGTACATGTGTGTGTATTATAGATGCATCATCGTGTTTTTGTTCATTTTTAGACTAATAATGTACAAGAAATAAATTTAGTAATTCAGATTTTACCTTAAAAACTCAAGCCTAATATGGTTTGTAATTTTGAAAATTAATAAAACCTTTTCATAACAGAGTTTGTAGTTTTGCTTGGAGATGAGCCTTGTTAGACAGACAGTAGAACTCAACAGCATAACTTTTGTGACAGCTATGTTTAGCTTGCTTTGGAGCACTATCAAAGGATAAGTTTGAAGTGCCTTTTCAATCCTTGAACATGTATTTCCTTTCTGTCTCTGCAAAGTTGGAGTCTTTCCAGTGTTGGAGAAGGAAGACAAGTGATAGATATGGTGGTGAGGATGCACCTAACACAGATATTAATTTCAGCTAAGAATTCAGGAACTTCTAAGAATAGCCATGAAAGCTTCCATCACAGTTTCTTCTTCAAATATTTTGAAGTTCAAACTATTATTAGTGAAGCAATACATTACATTTCTTTGCCTACTTAGATGTCTACAACTAAACGGTGAAATTTTCATAAATATTTCTTAATTGTCAGTGCACATAACTATAATAAAAAATAATTTATTATTTTTCTACAGTGTATTTTTATTTCCAAATCAAAAGTAAAATAACTTTATTTATTTTGCCTCAATTCATGAAATGTTCATAATTAATGTCCTATTAATTTTATTCTAAGAAATTTAAACCTCAAAATTCCATTAGCAAAAAGTGTAAATAGTTACAATCTATCCTAAATATCATTGAAGACATCATAAGAAAATTTTAATAGGGTATGCCTGTAGATTAATTTATAATTTTGTCTTTTCTCTCTAAATTCTTATGTCTAAATCCTTGCCAAATTTAAATTGATGACTTGTACATTTAATTCAATCTTTTTAATTAACCAGAGATCATTTGTTTATACATTTTTTACATTTTAGTAAAGCCAGATTTCTGCTTTTTGGAAGAAGATCCTGGAATCTGTCGTGGATATATTACTAGATATTTTTATAACAATCAGTCCCAGCAGTGTGAAGATTTCAAGTATGGTGGATGCCTTGGGAATCTCAACAACTTTGAATCATTGGAAGAATGCAAAAAAACCTGTGAGCTTCCATGTAAGTCTATTTCCCATATGATTTTACTTTATTCATAAACATTCATTTTAAAATTAATCTCTTAGAATATGTTCAGGTGCACTTGGGTATTATTTTGCCGATAAGTATATTTATTTTCAATATATCTGAAATAATTATAGTTGCTATGTTAAAAATAAATAAAGCTGGGCTGGAGCTATATAGTAAAGTGGATAAGGTGCTTGCCTTGCATACAGCCAATTTGGGTTAGATCCCCGGAATTCCATGTGATCCTCTGAGCCCTGCCAGAACTGATCTCTGAGTCAGAGCCAGGAATAAATTCTAAGAAACATTAAATATGAACTTCTCAGTCCACTCCCCCGCCCCCTAAAAAATTAAAACCCTAAGGATTTTTTTAAATCTCTGTATATTATATAAATCATTTCTATAGATAAAACTTTTCATGTTATAATTATTTAGTATTTCTTCTTAAGCATAGTATGGCATCACTTAGGCATGTGGTTAGGATCGCTAAAACCCTTTGTTTTTTCAACAATTTGAGGAGAAATAATTATTTGAAACCCGCCATCTGCATTTCACCTGAACATAAAGTTTATTAAAAGAAAGACTAAAACATTAACTTTTACATATGTACAAAATGCACATGCAAAAAAAAATGCACATGCATATACAAATTTGTGTAAGCATATTACATAAATCCATTGCTTCCTTGCCATAGAGCTCAGGGAAAAATATCTAAAAATCTACATTTCTTAAACTCTGCTATGCTTTGTATTATACATACAATTATGGACTATGATAGTGTCTTATATTTTAATTTACTGGATTTTACCAGTGAATGCTTTGGAAGATGATGATTCTAAAACCCAGACTGATGCAGTGAATAGTAACTCCTTGGCTCCCCAGCCTACCAAGGTTGCCAGATTTTTGGGTAAGAATTTCTCTCTCTTGTTTCAATTGTTGTGAAATCATGATCAGAGAAGATGTGGAACACTAGAATTGTATTTATAAAATATATGTTTTGTTATCTAATAATAGGTGTGTTGAAAACTGAGTTTTAAAACATTGATGACAATTCCACAAAAGTGATAATTATACTAATTTAGTTAAAAGTATGCTTTAAAGTAGAGTTTTGATAATATTCATGTGAAAACAACAGTATGTCAAATTTAACTTATAAATTGTTAACCTCAAAATCTGATGGCAAATGAGATTATAGCAGTACTGTGTCAAAGCTAGTTTATAATATTTTTAAGCTGATGACAGCATCAGGAAAATTTTCTGGTATTAATCATGGACAGTAAAGGAATTTGTTAAAAGTCTGCCTGCAAAGGAGATGCCATTGAAAGGAATTTAGTTTGCACATCTGAAGATGTCCTCTCTGTACTCTAACCTGTCAACATGCATATCAAATTTAAAGAAAAATACAGGAAGTATGTCCACAAAAATGCAAAGCTATGGAAGATAGTGGACATATTGGAAAACCTAACCCCAAACCACAAATATGTTGGCAATTAGAAACAACTTCAAAAAACTGAAAAGTTAAAAGGAAAAATGTAAGTTTCTACCCAGATATAAAAAGTACTACTTTTAAAATATATTTATACTTTTTAAATATAGACATTTAAATTATGTTCAAAATTGGTGATTTGGAGACCAGAAAGTAGTATTACAGGTAAGGCCCTATTTGCACCTGAACAACCCAGTTTAGATCCTGGAACCCTATATGGTCCTCTTAGTCCAGACAGGAGTATTGCCTGAGTACAACGTCAGGAGTCATCCTTGAGCACAACCTTATGTGCACATCCCCTGCAAAAAAAAAAAAATGTAGATTTCTTACAGGAAGTACACAGGAAGGATTAAATGTTAACTTGGAAAGAGTTGAAAGAGATTTTTGGAGATCCGTGCCATCGCAGCAGCATAAGTGAAGTATGTCATATTTTCACCACCCTAGCTTTAAGACAGAATCTGATGTCGTCAGCATGTCTTTAACCATCTTTCTTTCCACCAGGCAAATAAGAGAGCAAGCAAACAGAATGCATATTAAACTTCTGCAAGAATAGATGTGAAGCACTGCAATACTCAGATGGGTTATCCAACATAGGGATGTAAATGTTCAGTTTAGTATCATACTGATCTGATGATGTCTATGGGACTTTCTTCAGCTCCAAATGACACTTTAGAATTCATAATGACTGAAAACACAGAAGTAGGACTGAAAAGTGTAGAGGCACAAGCTTGAGTCAGGGACACTGCAGTGCATGAAATACAATCCTGTGAAAGAGAATTGAGTTCGTTTATGCCTGGGACTTGATCCTTTCCATTTCAGTCTCTTCACCACCCATTCATAATCCCTCAATCCAGTCTGAAAATAAGGATTACCTCACAGAATTAAATATAACTGTCTTTCTGTAAATATGTTTACTTTTTAATATGAAATATTCAAAAATGCACACATATCATAGGAATTAAATTTCTTAAGTGATATATATACTCTTGAGGAGTTTTTTCACAGCATTTGAGATATCCTAATGGGCACAGAAAGTTTTAGTCAGAGTTGGACAATACGGTAATCAAAATGCTGAAACATTCTAGGTTTGTTAATAGAGCAGAAAATTCAAAGCTAAGTGAATGGTATTGATTTTTAAATACTTTTTTTTATAAAAATGATAGCACCTTTGTAGTTCTAATTTATAATACATAAAATTAATTTTATCACATTTTTTCTGTGTCCTTCCAGCACTGTGTGTTTCCGTGATATTTTGCTTTCTCTGGTCAAGTGTCACATGTTGAAAGAATACTAAATCGCATTGCTTCATTGCTTTGACATATGTAAAAGATTAGAATGGCATACTTGTTAGAAGTTAAAGGTGCTTATAATATCATATGTCTGCAAATAAATGAAATGTATAAAATCAGTTTTCAATGTTTCACTGTATTTTGCTTAGATTATTTATTCAAATATTTCATAATTTAAAATTTAAAAATTGTAAATATAGATCAGGAGTTGGTTTTGCCTACAAATTTTATGAAGAGTACGGCATACTGTCTAAACAGAGGAAAATAAAGTGTTAAATATGACACTCAAATGCTTTTGTGGATGCATATTTAAAAAATGCAATACTAAATTAATGGTCATAATATAAATTTATTATCTAAGGAAAGAGTAAACACTTCGCAAAATAAATTTAAAATAAAACAATATTGTTGCTTGGATAGCTAATACAGGGATTAAGTTGCCTGCAGAGAACCAGGTTGTATCCTAGGCATTGCGAGATCCCCAAAGCAGCATTGGGACTGACCTTTCAGCGCAGAGAACAGAAATACCACGCTCCCCCTCCCTATACCTCCCACATCCTGCACTGCCTGCAGCGTTCCCTCTTCCCCCTGACCTACCAATAAGGAAAATAAAACGGTATTGAAGGCAGTGGATTCCAGTCACAGGGTGCAGCTCCAAGGCTGGTCTGGAGCCTTTTTTACAGCGCTGATGCTTGTATGAGCCGAGCACTAGCCCTGTACTTGATCTGTCTCCTTCCACGCCTGAGTGAACTCTGATCCCCTCGCCCTTGCCTTGCATGGGAACGTAAATCTCCCTGAACCGGTAGACATAAGTGCCACGTTTGGATGTGATGCATATATACTTTGCATCTGAACAAAAGAAAACAATGCTAAAAGGATTTTTATTTTAAATAATATTCATTTGAAGAACAAATCTCTTAAAGTAATTGCATTTTAAAATTAGAACAAATAATCCTTTATTTTCAGAAAACTAGTTTGTTTATTCTCTACATTTGCCTCAAAAATCTAAATCCCACTATCCAATATAACCTATTTTCCATTTTTTTCTGGAAATGTAAATGTATTGCTTTCTTTTTGATGTTTGGGCCACACCTAACTGTGCTCAGGTCTTAATTTCTGGCTTTGTGCTCAGGGATCACTCCTGACAGTGCTTAGAGCATCATATGTGGTGCTGGAGAATCAAACTTGGGTGAGCTTTACACAAACCAAGGACTCTACTGGCTTTTCAGTCTTTTCAGCCCTTGTTTCCTTTTCTTATGGTTCCTAATGATTTTGGTTTAAAACATGAATAATGCTGCAATAATTGCCATAATAGCACAGCGGTAAGGCATTTGCCTTGCACGCAACCTGCCTGGCCGAGTCGGGTTCGATTCCCCCACCCCTCTCGGAGAGCCCGGCAAGCTACAGAGAGCATCTAGCCTGCACGCAAAGCCTGGCAAGCTACCCGTGATGTATACAGTATGCCAAACACAGTAATAACAAGTCTCACAATGGAGACGTTACTGGGCCTGCTCGAGCAAATCGATGAACAACAGGAAGACTGCTACAGTGATACAATTGCCATAAGTTTCATAGAAATGGAAACCCCTCAAGGATAGCAATAAAATCCTGGCCCCATTGCCCTGACACCTGGCTGTTCCCTTGTCTTCCCTGTCCAAGATACAGAATATAGAAATGCAGCTGTCCTGCACTATCAAAATCTGGATGATCCTTTTCATCCCATCCAAGTGGAAAAGCACAGGAAGGAAGTTGTGTCCCCACCTGTCTTACTCCCAAATGATCCTTCAAAAAAGGCCTTTTGCAGTTCTGTAAAGACTCTTAATGTCAGCTACAGATAATTATATCAAGCATAATCAGTACAATTACAGTAATATTAGCTGTTATAATTTAAAAATGTATAACTATTTTTGTGGTTTTAACAATGTGTAGTATTCTCTATGGATATCTGATCCTTTGGAAAATATCCCATAAGGTTTGGTATTGATATCAGTCGAAACAAGCCCATGGCACAAATAGAATGTTATTCATAAGGTTTTTCCCATTAAATAAAAATCTTCAAGTAGGATATGAATATTCAAAATATAGTTGGACACTATCATTGTTATAAATAATAGGCATGTATATTTAATGTTTTTAAATTATATTAGAAATTAATTTCAGTTTTGTTCAGTATTGCTAATAAATATTTTGGTAGCCTTAAATTTGTTTATTCTTAATTATCACAATTTTTAAAGTGAACATTAGAACACATTTACATTCAATTCTCTTGACGTGATGTTTGAATGCTAGTTAAGCACAAAGATTAATTTTCTTTTTTAATTTTTATATTTTAATGTTAATAGGATACTGAGTTGATCTAAATGGTTGTGCCTTATGCTTCCTGAGAGAGAATTTTATTAAATGTTTTATAAGCATATCCCTTTGCGTACTAAGAGTAAAAGATCTGTTCTTGGTAGACTTATGAGAATACAGTCAAACTAATGTTTTTTTTTCACTCCAAGTATGAGAAGAATTATTCTAAAACTTTCTTCATATGTACAGTTTTGTCAAAATCATGATGAAAGACTATAATAATTGGTTCTATTGACAGTCCTACTATATATGATGCACTACAATTTGGCAATGCAATCCAGTAAACATTATACATCATGCATATAGCAATATAAAAATTCAATGCAGTACCATAAATACACTCAAATTCTACCTCTTCCATTTACAGGTTGTGAAAATTTAAAATATTTTTGCCCTCTCAGCAAATTTTCCCACTGTAAAATGAGGATGGTCACAATTAAAGTACTTTTTACTTCCTGAGTTTTGTTATGAGGTTAAATTAGTCAATATGCATAGCTCACTTTGAACAGTGCCTAATAAATATTCAGTGTTTGGTATTCTTTTTTATTGCCAAAGTGGATCTGCGAACTGCCTCCATACTCCTCCTAACATATGCCTTTAGGTTATAACAGCTTTATGATATTTGATGGGGGAGGGAGAAAGAAAAAAGAAGCTTCAGTTAGACTTTCAAAGTTTATTGCCAACTCACTCTGAAACTTTCTCTCTGACAAGAAAAAGAGAACACATATATTTGGTCCCATATTGCTTTCTAGCAGTCTCCAGGCTAAAGGAAAAAAATAA